ATAAATCTCTCTATACTTACCTTTAAGCATAATCATTAAATATCTCTCTTATATAAGAAAACTAAATTGATCTTTCTTGTATCAAAATGTCAAACTCATCAGATCTCATAGAGCTTTCTAATCACGAAAGCTCTCAGACAGTAGAACCAATGCAATTATCGTCAAAAATACAAACCACTCTAGATAGTTACTCATTTTATGAGGATATTATTGCAAGTGAAAATTCTAGCCCGGAAGAATCCAATGATGATGATATTCATGAATATGAAACATCAGCAGATGTAACTTCACGCTCTACTGTACCTCGCTCTTCCTAAATACCAGCTAAAAGAAAAAGCGGATCATCTATTTATAGAAAACCATCAAAAGAAAGCTGGGTATGGAGATATACCGGGCGTGATAAAACTACAAAGCAAAAATATTGCAAAGTAAAAATAGATGATGATAATGGTAATGTTGAGAAATGTACGACTACATTCCAACCCAGCACTTCCGTTACCAATATCGCTTCGCATTTACGTACTGTATATAGAATTTTCAAAGACCAAAAATTAGATGCGCCTATAGTTCTTACAACTGAAAATCCTAATACTACAAAAATACAAACAACAATTAACTCTTTATTAGAGAGACGTGCTGAAATAACTCAACCACTTTCTGAAGAAAAACAAATTCGCGTTACTTATCATTTAGTTGCTTGGTTAATTGAGGCAATGATGCCTTTAGATTGTATTAATCATGACCGATTTAAAGATTTCTGTTACGAAATTAATCCACAATTTGGAGTTCCCTGTACTAATACAATTAAAAATAAAGTCGCAGAGTCAGTATTATATACACGGTCTAATTTAAATAAGCTAATAAATGAAACAATGATATCTGTAAGTTTTACAACAGATTTATGGGCCCAAAACCATATCCCATTCATTAGTGTAACCGCTCATTGGCTTGCAGAAAACTTTGTAATGCATCAAGCCTTAATTACAATAGAAAATTTTGACTACCCTCACACGGGTGATCGTATCGAAGACTTTTTGCGCAAAGTTCTCGTGGATTAGAATATAGAAGATAAATTGTTTGCAGTAAGTACAGATAATGCTGCATCAATGGTAAAGGCAATTCGACAATTAGAAACCACTCACCTTGGATGTGTAGCTCACACAATTCAACTTGCGATTACAGATGAAATAAAAAAAAGTGACATCTTAATTGAAAAGACCAAAGTAATGAATAATTTTCTTGTTAACCATAATAAATATAGATCTCGGTTCTTTAGAATTCAGGCTGAACTAAATAAAAAAAATATACATCAAATTCAACAAAGCAACCTAATATATTAGAGCCTATCTCGAGTAATATTGCTACGCACTGGAACTCCACATACCTTCTTCTTCAAAGACTTATAGATCTTCGTGAAGCGATTATTGAATTAGCTGAAAACCTAGTAAAAGATCCTGATAGAGTAGTTAGATCAGACAGAAATAATTTAAAAGAAAAAATAATTGAAGATGAAGATTGGCAAGGATTAATTGAATTATGTGATCTTCTTCATCCTTTTGCACGTGCATCTGTTTATATGGGTGGGAACCAATATCCAACATTAGGAATGGTATACCTGACTATAAAACGTCTTTTTAAGCATCTTGATAATATAAAATATCAACTTACTTATTCATCAGTTATTGAAACCCATAAATATCTTCGTGAATCAATGTTAAATCGCTGGGAGGATCCTAATATAACTGGATGGCTTGCTACAATTTTAGACCCTCGTTTTAAATCGTTATCAGGTGCATCATCTGATGAAAGAAATGAAGTAATTAATGAATTACGAAAAAGAATTAATCTTTCTATACAATCTAAAAAAGATTTATCAAATACTGTTAGTTCAAGATCTGATATGTCTTCATTTTATGATGATGAGATTGAATTAACCTCACCTGTCGATACTGAACTGCAAGTATACTTTTCCATTCCACCAATTCCTAAGTATGAGCTCACGGATCCTTCATACGAAAGCTGTAACCCTTTAAGTTGGTGGAGAGATCATCAAATTACTCTACCGCTTCTTGCTAAGCAAGCAAGAATCTTTCTCGCTGTGCCTGCGACTTCGGTGCCTTCCGAGAGACTTTTTTCCCATGCCAGAAATGTTCTAACTGATAAACGTAACCGCCTAAATCCTGATATGGTTCATGACCTGCTTTTTTTAAGAGAAAACTCACCGATCTTAAATGTTTATGTTGGATTATAAAATGACTAAATTGAATCTTAGTACTTTAATAAAAATGTTAAATATCCAAATTGGATTAAATCTGCAGGTAACTATTTATTAGTTAAGTAAAAAAAAACTGCGAAAAAAAAAGAAAATTTCCTTAAGATAAAATTTTGATTGTCCAATAATTTATTTTCGTGTCCCAAGTGAAAGTATTAGCTTGGTCGAGTCTTTCTTTATTGTAGATATTGCGTTTCGCTCTTTAAATATTTATATATTCAACTTTATTCGCACTTAGAATACCTGTAGCAAAACTAATATTGTATTTAGAGGCTGATCTTTGTAATTAAGAGTACTTTTGCAAATATAGGTTAAATACATACATATATATATTAAATAAAAGTTAGGATCTTTTAAAAAAATAAAATAAAATTTTTGCGATACTTCGATATTTGTACAATATATATATACGTAAATGGAAATCACCTGATTTTGATATCTAGCCGGCTAAGCCGGCTTAGCCGATTTTTATAAAATCAGCTTAGTCAGTCGATCATTTTGACTTGACGAATATCCTTACTGTCCCGGTCACCCCTAATCGAGAATTAACATGCGCAACCTTCGTATAACAGAACCTTCTATGACTTGTCAAATATAGTACCACCACTCCACGATTGGACCTCCTTCTGGGAATTTCCTTTTTCAGTTTCATATTTGCACTTGGACTTAACTACAGGACTCCGCATTCAATTATGGCCCCCTATTGGGTTACAAAAGCTAAAAATCTTAAAATTTTGCCTCCAGCCTGACTCGAACCGTCAATCTAGTTTGTGGGAGTTTGGCAGCTTAACTACTAAGCTATAAGGCCCAAACCCTTTTTTGAAATATTTAGAAAAATACAATTTTTGAAAAAATTTTATTGAAATTTTCAAAATATATTTTGAAAAATTTTAACTAAAATAATTTTGAAATATTGTAAAATTATTTAAAAAAAATATTGTTTATTTGACAATATTTGAATAATCTATATACTGTATAAATTTCTTTTTTTTATTTTTTAAATTAGCCTCTTTGATATGAAGGTTTTATTCAAGTATATATTAGGTGTGAGAGGCCTATAGCAGAACTCTGAATTATATTAAAGAGTATAACTAGCCATATGTGCACTTATTTAAGTAGTTTGCATATAGATAACTATATACTATAGGTTCTATACTAGCTGCTATACCTATAACTCAACTAGGAGATTATCTATTTAAACCCTCTGTAATGCAACCAGACCCTTACTTGTTATATTACCAGAATATCTTCGCTATATTTGTCAGTCGAGAAGTACTGGATGCTTGCTATAGCCTTAAGACTAATTTATTTTTAAAGCATCATTGCTAAAGCTTTTCATATCCACAATCTGGCTAACCAAGACTTTGGTAACTTATGTCAAGTCTGAGAATGAATACTTGCAAACTGAAGCTACTACCATTATCTACTTCTGTCCGTATAGAGTTTACCCAAACCTCAGCATCCACTTTACAGACTTTTTTACTATTTCTCCAGTTCTCTAAACTCCTAATCCAGATAGCTCAGAAGGGCAGACTCCTTCTCCAGAATACATCAGTGGCCTGGTTGGTATGGTGCCTTGCTAAACATCTCAGTCCTGTCCAGTTTCTAGTTCTTTGATTAATAATCCTTTATATAACACTGTCAAAAATCTGTATTACCTCTTTACTCAGAACTTGCCAAACAGGATTTTGTGTGCCCCAGCTCTTAGATTTACACAAATGTTTTACTCAGGTTTTGTGTAACTTATACATCAACTATAGTTCTATGTTCTTCCAGTACAAGCTAGTATGACCAAAGCTACAGATCTGATGATTCATCAGATTATACATAGTCTGGCCATAACACATTCTGTAAAATTTAAATTTCATTACCAGTGGGATTCGAACTCTTGTTTTGTCACTTGGGGGTGTGACAACTTACTAACTTCACTAAGTCGCCACATCCTTACTATATAAATTTTTTTTTATAAATTTATTATTATAAATAGATATAATTGTTTATTAATTTTTTCAAATTGAAATATATTTTAATTTTTTATATATTATAATTTAAATACTGATTTGATCTATTTTTTCTATTTAATTTTTTTGCAGTATATTATTGCAGGTGTTATTGCTAATTTTTTTTTAGCATTTTCTTTTCTTTTTGCTCTTTTTTTGAAATTAACTTCAAGATATGTATAAGAATCATTATTATTATTTTTTTTAATCTTCAAAAGTGAGGCTATGTCTCTATCTTTATTAAAATTCAATTAAATTTCTTTATAAATTAAATAAAGAAATTATATTATTTGAACTTTATATCTATAAGATACTAAGACTAGAGACTCAGACAGAGCTCTTGCTAACTTGAAAGTTATAGGAGTTATCTGTGATCTAAATCTAATAAAATCATTATTATATTTATTGTTTTTTTGTTTTTAATTTTTTTTTTATTGATAGATTATATTACTACTGTTCTTTTTTTTTTAATAGTTTTATATATCTTTTTTGTTTTGAAATTAGCTTTAAATCTAGTGAATATCTTTATTATAATTGATTTTTGTTTTTTTTTTAATTTGTAAGGCATGTTACTAATGCTTTTCTTTTTTTCAATAATTTTACTTATCCTTTTTGTTTTTTTTTAGAATTGGCTTCAAATTTGGTAAGTATTTTTCTGTTTTATTGTTTTTAATTATTTTTTTTTATTTATAAGTTATATTACTAATGCTTTTTTTTTTCAGTAATTTCATTTGTTTTTTTGATATTTTTCTAGAATTGATTTTAATTTTGGTAAGTATCTTTATTATAATTGTTTTTTTTTGTTTATAAGCTATGTTACTAATACTTTTCTCTTTTTTCAATAGTTTTACTTGTTTCTTTATTATTTTTTTAAAATTAGCTTTGATTCTGATAGGTATCTTTATTGTAATTGTTTTTTTGTTTATAAGTTATATTATTAACATGCTTCTCTTTTTTTGATAGTTTTACTTATCTCCTTATTATTCTTTTAGAATTGCTACAGATCTGGTGAGTATCTTTACTATTTATATTTTTTTTCCTTTAG